ATATATATATATATATATATATATATATATATCATTGTATAGAAATTGTAGAGACAGACAAATAGTTGTAACTTGTACATCACAGCAGCCACTGAATTAAGAAATTCTTTGATGGTATACATAGGAAAAAAAAACTGCAATTCCTACGCATATGCACAAAGGTTGGACACCATATACAGACATTGTGGTATATCAATACATAGAAGGCAGTACAAATTTGTGAAGATTTACTATAGTTGTAATAGCCATATTATGTCAATTTTCCCATAATCATGCTACCATGATATTCCAATTTAATTCCTCTTTAATAATGGGGATTTCTTAATTGAAGTTGCAACATTCAAATTACAAGGAAAAGAATATTCTCATCCTTCAACTTTTTCCTGTCCTTTAAATATAGGATTTTTGTTCTAGTTTGAGCCTAAGATTTTTTATGGACATTGGCGTAGACTTAATGGTCAAGTCAAATAACCTAATCACTAAAGAGGCAGACTTCACAAGCCCACCTATAAGTAAACACCCCTTGCTTACAGTCTCTCGAAGTAGAGGGAGAAGGAAGGAAGGGATAGGAGATGATCCATTGGATCGGTAAGCTAAGCTTCATCCTTCTCGGCGTGGCTTCGGCCACGCTTGTCGCGGATCTCTTGCTCCCTTGCTTTCTGGATTTCTTCCTCTCCCTGCGCCACCTCTGGATCATCTCCCAGTTCATCGTCTTCTTCATCTGGAAGCTCTCCAGCACCGGCGACGCCGACGAGTCTCTTGAGTTCTCTTTACTTCGTCCTCTTGCTGCTGACTCGCCGGAGACGTGGGGTGACGTCCCTTCCGCCGGCTACTTCACCTCCTTTCCTTCTCGAGCTGGTTCGCGTGAACCCGAGCCGTTGCCGCCGGAGGTCACAAAGGAGATGGTGGAGCCTAGACAGCAATACCATCGTGAGGAGGCTGCACCGTTGGTGGCGAAAGAGGAGGCCATGGGGTGGAGGAGAAGGGAAGTGCTCGTGGTCCACCACGACGAGCTGTTCCAGCGAGCGGAGGCGTTCATCAAGAAGCACCACGACAGCCTCCGGCTCCAGCCGCATGAGGAGTACCCGCAGCAACGCCAACGCTTGGCGATGCTTCCTTGGTCTTCCTAGCAGTCGATCTCCCACTTAGCTTACGTTTCTCTTCTCGATTCATTCGTGAACTGGTAACACAGTCGCAGTGGTGGTGTCCATGTTGTGTGTACATATATGGCTTCATGTACATGAGATCATCATGGTGTAAAGAAGAAGCTGCAAGTCTTCACTGTGTGATCCTTCTCCTTGTAACACTCGTTAGCAAAGAACAATAAACTCAGTTGGGCTCAGAATGTTTCTTGTTGTTCCAAAGAGTTTGGCGAGGTTACCACATCTTCCGCATGGTAAAACTGCATTGACATTATCCAAAATGATTCCATGCAATTTATAGCGTTGACTCTGGAACATATATCAGATCTTCTGCATTCATGATATCACATGGGCTAATTAAAAGTTGGAGCAGGTGGTGTTAGCTGCTGAATTAGTCAACTCTCTCAAGGCAGATGGGTCACAATATGTAGCTCATCTGCAACTAAGCATATGAATCGATGCGTGACCTCATCAGCTATATCCTTCTTCAGATATGAACTGAAATAAGACTCCATGATTCCTCTTACTGCATGTAAGCAGCTTACTCGATGCACGACCTCAGCAACTTTGTCCTTCCTGCTTGCTGAACATGTTCTTCTTTTTCTTCGGAGTTGAATTGACTGCAAAAAAAAATACTAGTGTTTTCTTCTTGCAGCCTTTTGCTTCCGTTGGCTTTTAGTAGGTCACCTGCAAGCAAGCATCTTACTCGATGAATGGAATCCATTGACGATGACCAACAAATCCTGCTGTTCCAACGCGTAAACGAAGACATTGTTAACTACGAGAGTGGGTGCCATGGAAATCAAATGTCAACTTCGTGACAGAAGACTTTGAAGCCTTGGTCAATGAAGAAGCTATAGGTCGAACGAGTTGTTGGATCCTCGTCATCATGTCACCTTGAGTCAACATGAAGCGCGTATTGAATAAGTCCTTGAAGCTTATACTAGAATGAACGAAGGACTTGGAAGTCAAGATGAGAGGCCTGTAAATGACAAATAAGATAATGATCAAAGTAAGAAATTTGTTGGAGAGACTTCTCAAGCTCATGTTGCCATCTTAAAGTGTGATGAATGTTCTTGTGCCATCAATGATTGTATAACTTCAAGAAATAGCTTATCTCTGAGGCAGCATAAGTTCTCTTTTTTTGCTTTCTAAAGCATAATATAAACTATATTACATTAATTGCATGATACATCCATTACTCTGCTCATCAGAGCTCAAAACAATGTGGTAAAGGCTGTTTGGGTGGATGATTATGGAACTTGATGTAACAGTGGGGTGTTTCAGACTACATAATTACGCTCATCCAATAGACGAAAAGAAAGCAATAAACTACTTCTTTATCATGATGTCACGAATCATAACAATCGTAATGAATCATAATGTGCCAATTGTTTAAGATCAACCATATCGAATGTAATCCACCGTTTAATAAAATAGATTCATGCAATTGAAATCTAATAAAGTTTCTCATTGGTGATGCTACAGATATATTTAAAGAAGTCAAGAGTCATGGTATATTTATTGGAACATGTTAGCATTTGTTTGACTGAGGACTGAAGCCATACCAGCAATTATATTTGATACGGTACATTTTGGCAGCCTGAACACGTCACAACCAACACAGCACGCCAAGTCAGAGCCCTGCGCCACACGTCCCGTCCCGGGGGCTCGGGGCGGTGCCGTCTGATGCACCATCAGCCTTCGCGCCACAGTATAAAACCCCTGGCTGGCCTTCGGCCAGGGGAGGAGGAGAAGAGGGGAGAAAGAAAAGAGCAATCCCTCTCGTTACTAACTTGCTCGTCGGAGGGGCTATTGCTGGGTATCACTCGGTGGAGGTCATTTTGCAGGAGGGCTACCACTCATCGACGGTGAGGGACTCGGTACGGGAGCGCGACTCGCTCGACACCAAGGAGTCATCAATCAGCCACGATCCCGACCAACGCCAACCAACACCCCTTCCCGAGAGCTCGAGCACCTCATCATCCGAATCACCCCGCAGAAAACTCTCGACATCGGCCCGTGGACCTAGTCGTGCTAACTCCCCAGCCATGACACATTTGTTCACCAACAATATTAACAAGCATCACAAGCCCATATAGCAGATTGGAAAAATAGCTACATGTCATATTTTGTACTTGAACCATATATTTATTATCAGCATGAAACAAAGAGGTTGAGGTTGCAACACTGTATTAACATACTGCATAATATGGCAGTTCAATTAAGATTTTATTCAACATGTTACTTATCTGACTCAAAAAAGAAAAATAAATCTCAGGCATATTGGACTCAGGTACTTATTTATCAGGCCTCAAAAAGAACTAAAATCTTGGGAGTCTACACCAACTCAACAACATTTTGCAACACTGGTTCGTGGAACGAAAATTTCTATGACCAGAAATAGCGAAAGGCTTTAGTTTACAAGGATATTAAATAGACATGAAAATCTATTTTAGCATATAGCAACTCAAAAATTCATCATCTAGTGAAGAAACAACAAACCATTCGGTAAAAAGTTGAACATCCTAATATCATCAGTAAGATCCTAATTTAGCTGACGTGGGAAGTAACAAAGATGTGTTAGTCAAGATAATTAATTAACACTGATGACCCAAGGATGAAGAAACAACTCCTCCAGGATAGGATAATTTCCAATTCATTGATCAAACATGTCTAATTGGCAACAACTAACACACTAATAGTGAATACATATGTGATAACTTCATGGAGGAATATAGACATGGAGGAGCATTGCAACACTAAAACAACAAACCATAAGATTCAAAGTATTTTGACTCGGATGCATGGGTCCTTTCCTACCATTGAGCTCTGCTGGAGGTAACATTACTAGACAAACTAAAAGCCATTATCGTTTCAATATATGTTTTCTCATATCTTCTTCTACCTCTTCATCCACCACTAATCCCTTGGACCTACTGGAGCATACATATGTGATAACTTCATGGAGAAATATACTCAGATAGGAGCATTGCAACACTAACACAACAAGCCACAAGACTCGAAACATTTTGACTTGGTAGCATGGGTCCTTTCCTACCATTGAGCTCTGCTGAAGGCAACATTGCTAGACAAACTAAAAGCCATTATAGTTTCAAGAAATGTTTTTTCAGATCTTCTTCTACCTCGTCATGCATCACTAATCCCTTGGACCTACTGGAGCATCTACTCGATCTTAAGCACTCCTAATCTCAATTACTAGGCGGCCAATTTCCAGTTCCAGGGTGTTCAAATGTCAGCCAAATGATAAAATATTTGACTAATTCTTCCATCGACAAATTAAAACCTTTGAGCACAGTGAACAGTAAGTATAATGGGAATCAGACAACACATACTTCTCCATGTGGGCTTCTTGTAAAGGATGCGGTATCCGCATTCCTCGCACGGTATAACATCCCCTGACTTCAGCGTGTTCTCCGCCCCGCAATCTCCGCTTGTATTGATCCGATGTTTGATATGAATATATTAATCAAGCAATCAGATAACTCCACTCGTCACAAACTACTTCAATAAAGATTCGAAAGACAAAAAGGAGATCAAGAACCGAAAGCTAGGGTTTGTAAGGAAAAAAATCAATCGATCACGAACGGAGGAACATAAAGAATCATATTAGTAAAAAAAATATTTGAATCGTACTATTTCGGGAGAGGACAATGACGAATTCGTGGAGATCTCTTGGCCTGCGAGGACCAAGAGGAGGGTAGCCGACGACAGGAAGATGGCCTCTTTGGAGGGAGTTGCCGTTTATATGTGAAAGGAAATGGTGTGACTCAGCCGAGTAAGTTATGAGTCAACCGGGTCCAACCCGACCGAGTTACGGAATCGTCAATCAACGTGGCGTAATTATCCACGTTATTATTACACCCATCATAAGCTTCTAACTTAGATGCGCCTTACCATCCAAATCATAGAGATGGCGTGAGATTGACGGTTTGGATGATGTGGGTGTCCCGATGGGATGATGAATTAAAAGACTATATTTAGCGTCAGTCGCCAACGTCAGATAAAAGACGTACCGGGGAAGAGAAACCGCGAGGAGGAGGCCCGACCGGGCCGGCTACGATTAGGGTTCCTCACACCGAAATCCTAATCCTCTCTTCGTGCGGGCGCCCAATTGAATCCTGTCCACTCCTCTGTTTCGCGATCTCATATGGCCCCGGCGAGGTTGAATGGCGGGGATCGGCCGACGGAGGAGGGGGCAAGTATCTGCATCAATGACGCCCTTACCGACGACGAGCTTCGGGCTGTGTTCGCGTGGCTGGAGAAGGAAGATGAGAGGGACCTGTTTGGGCTCGTCTGTAAGCGCTGGCTCCGCCTTCAGAGTTCGGAGCGCCGCCGCCTCCGGGCCCGGGCCGGCCCCGCCATGCTCCGCCGGATGACCGACCGGTTTCCGGGTCTCCTTGAGCTTGACCTCTCTCAATCCGCCTCGAGATCGTTCTACCCTGGAGTTACCGACTCAGATCTTGCTGTCATTGCCGCTGGATTTTGGAATTTACGTGTCCTCGATCTCCAGAACTGTAAAGGTGAGATCTTTTGGTCTTTCACTATAGAGATTCTTCTTTTTGATGGTTGCTTGTTCATCTCGTGTGTTATAACCATGATCTCTTTCATTATTATTAATAATTCAGTTGGGGGTATAGTTATCATTTGCACTATGATTTTATTATCATAGCAACAACTTGATTAATTTATTGGTGTGAAGATAGTTACATGAGGGAATAAGTAGATGGTATCATTGCTTAATTGGGATTCCTCGCTTTTCTCATTCTTGTCTCCCCGGCGGTGGACTGAAGGTCGAGGAGTTTGTGGGAGTTTCATCGAAAGATGAAGGGGGCATCGTGAAAGGATTAAGGTAAGTGTCCCATCCTCTCTCTCCCCTAATTTAATCTCATAATCACATCTCACAAACATGTATCCTCAAACTAATCTCACAAATATTATCCATATTATAATGTTTGTGTTTTCCTCTCAAATTCAATGTTTATGTTTTCCTCTCAAATTCAATTTTTTTAACATATGTCAATTGATATTATGTGAAAACTCACTATATCATGCTTTATGCTAGAAATTTATGCTTTTTGTTAGGGATAGATGAATTTATATATTATGTTCTGCATGTGAAGTAAAATAGGTGGAGTCTTTTTTGATTGGATTTTTATCATCATTTTTGTAAAATAGGTGTTATTAAATAAACAAATAGTTGAATTCGGGTTTGTTGTCATGTCAGCGATCCACGTCATCAACCACATCATTGTTGATCACTAGCACGTTACCGACCACTATCATACCAATATTGAGTTGTGTTATTTCAATGGTGATTATAGACACAACAGGCTGCACTGCAGTCTATACAAAATTTGTCATATCATTGCTGATTGTTGTCATTGTTAGCATTGACCTTTGTCATGTTAGTATGATTGCTGATACAACAAGTTACATGACAGTTTGCATGAAATCTAGGTGGATCAGTCTTAAATTGTCTAGCCCAACCGCCTATCCTAAATCAATGTAATTGAGCTGGAGTAAATTGAAACAGTATTGAACCTTATTTAATTGACTTAATTTGAATCCAGTCATTATATATGGTCGAACCCAATCACATCATGATTTTGAACCCTAGCCATGCAACCAGATTGAACCCAATCATTACATGTGATCGAACTCAATCACATCCTAATTGAACCCAAGCCATGCACCTAGTCCAGATTTGAGAAGCTTAATTCTACATAAGCCAAGCAGGCTATGCGGGCTCAATCAGTGGGTTGGTTATGTTGGCTAAGTCAGTTGGCTAGCCTTGGTGTAGGCCTTTGAGCAGTAACTAAACCAAAGTACAGGTAATTAATAAATATACAAAAACTTTAGAAAAGTACAATTCATAAAAATACAAAAAAAATCCAAAAATGTAAAAAAATTTCAAGTATTGTTAAATGACAAGAATGAGATTATTAGGTCATATTGAATTCTATAGCAACCTAGAACTAGTGATTTAGACCTCCTGAAATCTCAAGTATAAATGCTATAAGGGCAAGTAAATAAATTTAAATATATAATGCATAACAAAATCTATCATACGTGATTGATTTCTATACTTTGTAAATTAAATTCCTTGCCACATGCTATTCGTCTCTTTTGACTCCAATTTATATGTTATATATATGTATATGTATGTGGATGCATGATTTAATGTGGCATGGGTTTAATCAACAGAGGACAGGTTCAAGTCATTTAATCTGGTTTCAATTTATTCTATCCCAATTGCACCGATTTGAGCTAGGTGGTGGGATGGATCATTCAAGATTGGTCCACTTAGATTCCATGTAAATTGATATGTAGCCTCCTATGTCAACAATCACACTGACATAAATTGATATGTAGCCTCCTATGTCAACAATCACACTAACATAACAAAGGTCAATGTTGACATGACAATGGTTAGTGATAACATGACAAATTTTGTGTGGACTGCATGGTAGCTTATTGTGTCAACAATCACCGTTGACATGGCACAAATCAACATTGGTGTGGTAGTGATCAACCCTAGTGTGTCAGTGATCAATGATGCCATGGCTGATGATGTGGATCATTGACATGGCTGCGGACCTGAATACAATAACATTTTCGTTTGTTTAATAACACTTATTTTTCATGAAATGATGATAAAAATATGATTAGAAAGACTCCATAAAAGATGTTTGACATATGATTCCTACTTCACATGTAGAATATAATTTGTAAATCCATCTATCTCTGACAGGAAGCATAAATTTTGAGCAAAAACCAATATATAGTAAGTTTTTGCAGCATATCAATTGATACATGTTAAAAAATTTGGATTTGAAAGGAAAGCATAAACATTGGTAACATGGATGATATTTGTGAGATTAATGTTTAGGGATGCATTTTGTGAGATCAATATGTGAGATATGATAATAAGATTAAACTAGGAGAGAGGATGGGATGCGTATCTCAATCCATTTGGTGAAACCCCTATGGACTCCTTGATCTCCCATCCACCATCAACATAAGGAAGAAGAGCGAGGAATGCCAATTAAGTAATGACATCACATGCATAGTGTCATTTTTACTCAATTCCCATGTAATCATCCTCACACTAGCAAATCAATCATGTTATTGCTATCATGATAAAATCTTAGTGCAAATGACAACTATACCCCACCAACTGAATTATTAATAATAATTAAAGAGGTCACAGTTATAACATCATGAATTAATTTGATTAGTTAAAATTAGATCTTTATTTATTTGAAAGGGGTCGTCTTTGTTTAGAACAATGGATAGCCTATAGGTTTGACTAGGTGTGCAGATTTTTTTTATTATTCAATGATAACAGTGATATGATTTGATGGAGTTATGTAATGATCCAACTAATTCTTAGGTTATGCACATGCAGAGAAACGACAAATACTGGTATTTTATAGGAAATTTGTAGTTGTGGCAAATGCTTCTTCTTTATTTGAGCCTTGGTCATAGTACTTACGCTTAATGGACCTTGATGTTAAGTAATTGTTGTTGGTGGTACGAACTTATTATGATAATTTATGTAAAATTATTGTAAAAAACATGATTGTTTACTAGATGAGGTTTAAGATGGTTTGACATCTGAATGTTCCACTCTTAAGTTTATATGCTCTTCTTAGTGTTCTGGAATGATTGATAGATGCAACTCTTTGGTGATAAAGATGGAATCTTATAATGTGAAAAATGTTAATTTTTTATCGTGTTGTAAGCTTTAGAATGCACTTCAGTCTTTCAATGTCACAAAACACTTGGAAAAGATTGCCTATAATGACTTGGGCAATTAATTGTTTCTATCTACTCAATTGCACATTCTCATAAGTTATTTATTGTTCATTTACCAAGTAATATCAACTCATTTATTGATATATTACAAATGCATGTACCTTATCCTACAATTAATTCTTGTAATTGGAATCTTCTTTAGCTTCTATTGTTGGAATTTTGTGTGCCTAAATGGTAATACTTAGGCACATCAGGCTGATTCTTGATGTCTGTGATTACGGTTGTTTCTCTGTTGTTTTCAGCATATTTATGACATTAAAATTGTATCAGTATCATACTCGTATCTTGTTATAGTTGTTAGTGACATGGAATTTTGCAAGTTGGACATAACATTAGATTATACTTGTTCCAGCCATCACCTCTCCTGTCATCAGAGAAAATACAATGTTTTGCTTTCAGATTCTAGTAGTCTAATATGGATTATGTGGCTTCTGTTCCAAAGGTGTCACTGATGTTGGAATGATTTCTCTGGGAAATGACCTTCCATCCCTCCAGTCCCTAGATGTTTCCCAGTGTAGAAAAATTACGGACAAAGGATTGGTGGCTGTTGCTTTGGGTTGTTCCTCTTTGAAAAGGTTGCATGTAGCTGGATCAAAATCTGTAACAGATGAGTTACTAAAAGCACTGTCTAGGAGCTGCTCAGGCCTAGAAGATCTAGGATTGGCAGGATGCAACAACATAACAGACACTGGGCTCTCAGCTCTTGCTGATGGTTGTCGATATATTAACTCTTTAGATATTAGTAAATGCACCAAAATTGGTGATATTGGAGTCTCAAGAATTGCTGAGGTTGCGTCATCATCGTTGAAGATTCTCAAGTTGTTGGACTGTTTCAGAGTTGGTGATGAATCCATATTTTCCTTGGCCCACTTCTGCCATAACCTTGAAACTCTTGTAATTGGTGGATGCCGCGATGTTACAGATGAATCTATAAAGGCCCTGTCGCTTGCTTGTTGCGACAGCCTAAGGAGCTTAAGGATGGACTGGTGTTTAAACATTACAGACTCATCCTTGAACTCTGTGCTGTCAAACTGTGGACATCTTGCAGCTCTCGACATAGGTTGCTGTGACAAACTAACCGATTTGGCTTTCCAGTCAGTTGGAATGGGAGGATTTGAGTCGCAACTGAAGGTTTTAAAGATGAGTAACTGCATGAAGATCACAGTTTCTGGCGTAGGCTCCATGTTGAAATTCTGCAAATCCCTGGAGTACGTTGACCTGCGATCATGCCCTCATATTACAAGGTTGGGTTGTCAGCAGGCTGGATTGCAGTTTCCTGAATGCTGTAAAACAAACTATGATGGCAGCTTATCCGAAAATGAAACTATTGTTGATGTCTTCTTTTAAGACATGAACCAAGACAATGACCACTTCCCTATCAAGTGCCTAATGGACAAGCTCATACCGTGATCAACTGTCATTCCTTTTCAGCCATAAGAAAGTAAGTATACCTTTCTGTGTGGCTAAGATATGTTAATATTGTGATGACAGAACTTGGAGTTGTGTTTACTGCGGTGTTGTATTTATGTTATTAAACCTATCCGACTGTAAATTTCCAGAATCTGTAGATGACTGATTGCAGGCTTTTGTAGACTGATACTCTTTAAATCCCAGCTTCTGAATGCAGTCTTTCATATAATATAGTTTTGTCTAAAAAGAAACTGTTTCCCTCTTCCTTAATAGGACTTGATTTAAAACTAAATAGCTCCCTGGTTTGGAACTTGTTATCTAGTTCTATTGTGGCTATTAGAATAAACTGGAATGCAGTAGGCATTACATTTTTATTTCATGCTTAAGTTATTAATATCGACTGCAATTGCATTAAGAGTTGGTGCAAGTTGATGCTGATCTATGTCGACCAAATTATGTAATCTTGATATAAACCTAGAATATAGTGACTTGGAATTCTGCAATCCAATTGTTCGAACAGGTGATGGGACTATTATTATTATCATTTATTCCAGATTGCACACTGTAATGTCATGGTTTTATTGTTATCGAGTGATGGACTGTGTTAGGTATTTAATGTCTGTAGTGGTAGAGAAAGAAGACATTGATGTCACAGCGACCATGTGTTCCATTACTATTCATCACGGTGTAGTATTATTTTCTTAAATTGATCTTGTTATAAAATAGATAAATTACGTTCTTTGGATTCATTTAGAATGCCACTGAATTAGACTTTATATGCAATAAAAAAAGCCCCGGGATTATGTTCTCATGTTGCAGATTGTGCGGCGCATTTAATCAAACAGGTTTAGAGCCTGACGGGGTGTGCTGCATTCTTGAACATGACGGGGAAAGGCTCATCGCTGAGCCCCAACCACCTCTTCCCACCCTCCACAAACACGCCCACGTCCCCGCACACCACCTTGCAGAACCTGCACACGCTCGGGCAATGGACGAGCTTATAGTCGCTCTCCCCGTACCTCTCGATCTTGAACCAGTTGCTCACCGTTGCCAGCCCCGGATCCCCCTTGAGGCCGCCGGTGACCACGTATCGCCGTCCGGTAGCCTCGGCGTCCCCCAGCCTCCACACGGTCGACTGCACGCAGATGGTCTCGGCGGCGAACCATACGTTGAGGTCCGTCGACATCTTCACGTACTTGTCCTTAGGGTTCACCGGCGAGAAGGTGAGCGGGAGGCCGTCGCTCACCTCCGAGCTCTCCTGGGCCACCGCGAGCGGGCAGGTGTCGTTGCTGCGGGCGGCGAGCGAGAGCCCGCCTCCGTGGCCGCGGATGAGGGGCAGCACGTAGTACTCGTGTCCCGGGCGGAGGCTCCGCCTGTCGGTGTCGCGCACGGAGGCAAATATCGTTGCCTCCGCGGAGAGCGCGTAGAGGAAGATGGGAAGCAGGATGAGCAGCTCCATAGCTGAAAGGGTTGCCGTGGTTGCATAGTTATTATAGGAAGGAGACGAGAAATGCATTGACCAGAGACGCATGTGAGGTGAGTAGGATGTTGACTTTTTGGTAGCTTCAGCAGTAGTATATGTTCGAGGAGCGATGATCCATAGCCGACTTATTTGAAAGGCAGTGGCAGAAAGGATTGGATTATCGAAACAAAGTGTTGGTAGTCAAAGATTGCAGCAACTTGTGGTGATTGTTAACTCAATAATGCAAGCTGGTGGGAGTTGCACATTTTGGATTGGATCGATCCCAAGTAAAACATCCATAAATATCCACCGATCACATTTCAAATACGATATGAATTGGTTTCTGATAGATTTTTTTTAAATTATATTGGGTATGGATGTTGTATTATAAATATTGAAATGTTAATACTATCATCATATGATATGATAGTATCAGTATTTTAAGTATTTTCTGGATGCTAATAAAAATTTTCAAAAAATTTAAAGTATTTATTATATAATATTTTCTAAAATATTCTAACCCTCATTTTCTCTCCCCCTTCTCTTGATTTTTACTTTCCTAGATTAATTGTCTCTCGAGTCTCCAATGTCACTTGCTTCGTTGGATTTATTTAGTAAGAAACCAACATAATTTGTATCTTATGTAAGGTAATATTTTATTTATTTATTTTAAAAAATTATTTTACATTCATTTAGATGATTATATTCTTATATTCTTTATAAATATTCGATTGTATTTTCATATAAATATTTTATATAATATTTGATTATATTTTTTATTTATTATATTTATGGACCATACAAGTTCTTTTATAAGATAACATACATTCAATTATTTATTTTATCCATTTACTTATTTAAATTAAAATATGTATTCACTTTTGAATAAATACTAAAAATGTTAGAAGGATAAATTCATCATATAATATTTAATAATTTTTAAAATATAATTTTATTATTAGATTTATGAACCATACGAATTTTTTTATAAGATAACATACATACATTCATTTTATTTATTTTATCTATTTACTTATTAATTTAAATTAAAATATTTATTCAATTTTGAATAAATATTAAATAGGTTAGAAGGATAAATTTATCATATAATATTTAATAATTTATAAAATATAATTTTATTAAACAATACTTACGTCAATAGATATTTAAAATGCATATCAAAATTTACAAGGGCAAATATACCTTTCGAAATATTTTATTAGGATAGATATGTAAAACCCTCAAAATAAACTAAGAAAATACACGGGAATATCATGCAATCTTATCTGTAATTAAGGAAATTATTTTTGTATCGAAAGAACTTTCATTTTAATAAGCACAATATTCAAGTCCGACTATATTGTTCCCTCTCAGTGGCTAAGACTGGCTTTCTTAACATACATTACAACTGAGAATCCCATGAAAAGGTATCCTCTAAAAGATTATATTTTTTTTCGATTTTTTGTGCATGCCAGATTAATTCAAAGTTTGTTCTTGAAAAGTCAGATCACTAATTAAGATTTACTATAATGCAGAAGTTATTAAACTAAAATAAATAATTCTCAAAGCTATATTGATCTTTTTATCATTATTGAGCTATATAAATACTAAAATCCATTTAGTTCTTCTTCACTTCAAATTTCTAAATGTTCCATGTATTCCTATATATATATGGTACCATTAGAAGCAATCAATGTCATACATAATTGTTCCGAGTATTTGTATATGTATTATTAACTTTACACATTCATCTCAATATTATATTAACACCAATGCATTCAGATTTAGTGAACCACATAAAGCAGGTAGTTAAATCAAAACAATATAGACAGAACAATCTATCAATCTTCCGTTGCTAATATCTTTTATTTCTTCCATTTGATGAATGCAAAAATGACAGTGTAATTTGCAAAGCTTTTTTCTCTGCACGTCTTCACCAATCTCATCTTCTACAAACCTATTCCTATGCCTACTCCTTTATTCAGAACGATCATGCTACCAAATCTCGAAATCATGGACTACCAAAATCTGACACACGCAACTCAATGCCAGTAGTAGTCAGTCTTAAGCCCCCTACCTAAGCCTGGGGAGGAAAAAGAAAAGAAGGTCGAGTGACAGGATCTGCAGAGGGCATGCGAGCTCTAATGACTCGACCAGTGATTGGCCCTTGAGACGCATACATGTGCACATCATCGTCGTGGCCGACGATGGTAATGTCATGGAGCCTTCGACCCCGCCTCCTGTCCCTGTTCATCGTCTTCTGACGGATGATGCTCGTCTGTGATCACAGAATCGCCACCTGCACAGAAATACATAATTCATATATTAAAAATTATCAAGATTATCTAAGACTTAATAACAGCACTCCACTATGCAACCATTAATTATTTAAGAAAGACATCTCTGATGTTGAGGAGGACAAGTTTGATGAGTATTACTTGTGTCGTTCCCCTGTCCAGGGTTGCTCTCTGCGGTGCTCGTGATCTCTCCTTGGTCTCTCGTTGGTTCAACCACACTTCCCATGTTGCCATCACTACAACCAGCAGCAGAATCCTCAGGTAGATGACAGTAGGGAAGAGACAGTGCATAAGGATGAGTCCTGCAGATGCCTTCCACTAGTTCGTCATAGTGCTCTTTGACTTCGGCCACGGTTCTTCCAGGCAGATATGCTGCAACTTTTTCCCAAGGAACGTGAATGCGATGGCCCTCAATATATGCAACCAAGGCCACTTCATATTCCCTGACCGCCTCCCGAGTCCAAATTGTACTGCTGCTCTGCTTCCCAGCATCCATCTTACTACACTTGCAGTTTGTACAAGCAGGGATGCAATCTTTCAAGAAAACCAGCAATAAACACAAAGAAGTTGAAGTAAGAGATCAGAGATACATAAAAAAAGAAGAAGCAAAGCATGGATTCAATCCTTGGTTACAGTCTATGTAACCGAGAAAAATCTACCCAATGATTCAATTGGAAGGAGAAACATGATTTGTTTGTGGAGATGTGCAGAGGACCACAATCAAAAGAATGAAGGAAAAGGCTTACCGCTGAAGTTTTCTGGAACTGAAACCGAGTTACAGCATTTTGCCAGATTATTCATTTATATGAGTCGGAGAGGAACAGTTGCAACGATTCTTGTTTGCTTTCTTGAAAGGGATGCAACCGCCGGTAAACCAGTGAAGGGCGGAGAAAAAGGCATCTGACCTGAGATAAGGCAACGCGTAACGCTTGAGAGCGCCCCTTCACTTTGTCGTTCGGGTGATAACAAACTGTAGCGTTTCTTGGAATCTGTTGAGTTCGGCTAAGGGTGAGAAAGACCCGACCCGATGGATTTCGGGCGTCGTTGCATACGAGCTGCCAAAATCATGTAGGGAGCCATTCGAGCCACGACTTACGTTACCGCATACGAAGCGATGTGGGACGTGAGGCATTTATGTGATGCGATGAATCGAATTGGATCAAATTGGCTCGACCCGAGTTTGTGTTGGGTCGGGTCGGATCGCTAAATGGAAGCCAAGTCCCGCTGCCTCGTCGGTCACCATCGCCTCCCTTCTGTTCTGGTGGCTTTTGCGGTTTATGACACCTGTCACAATAGATAATTCGTTGAAGAAAGATATATGATAAAAATTCGTTGTCATTTATCATTATCATTATCCATTATGTGCTATGATATATGATAAAATAGTATAAAATGATGCTCTATGGATAGCCAATAGATAGTCGAAAGTATACAAAATGACAAAGTCTCTTTTATCTCTAGAAAGAGACCGAGAACATTAAAAAAGAATCAACATGATCGTATCATATCCAATCATGAATTAAGTTGGGTGAATTTCCAATAACTCTGTCTTATCTATTTTCAAGAATAATATAAATATATTTACAGTTAATATATCTGTTTAATCCTTATGAAAATGTATGGTTTGTACTTATTAAATGAAATATGTATTGGCTTTCAAAATATCAATTCGATGTTTTAATTATTCAAAAGGATTGAAATGGTTAATTTTAGATGTTATATGAATTGTTAGATTGAAATAAGAGATAAAAATATACTTGATATCTTTATATTGTATGACTAGTATGATTATAATCTGAACCCTACCAGTGGGGTTGCACATTGAAAATTATTTTAGGAATTAATTTTTTCTAAGTCTCGACACAAGAATAAATATGCTATGACATACAATGTTATCATAATTGTTAGTACCATTATAACTATTGTTTTGATACACACCTTTAGCTATACTTATTGTGAATTTAAATATATATGTCTAGTTATATTTATTTAACTTTTGAACAATTATTTATGATTATTTGTATGAATATGCTACTTATTCTGATACCATTTAGCTGATTTTGTTACTCTGAAATGAAAATAAAGCTTATATATGGTGTTTGATAGAAAGAATGATTTGATATTTTATATGTTTTGATAAATTGAATATAAAAATTATAATTATTTGTTTATAAGTATTTGTAATAATTTCTTATTGATATAAGTTATAATACTTATTGGCCTATTATTTGCTCATATGTCTGCTCTTTCAATTTTTCAGACCTCAAGGAATAGTATATATCATGGATATACTTGAGAAAAAAAATATTATTATTTATAATCCTCTTATATTTTGGACTTATATAATATTAATGTGAAATATCCCTAAAATTGTATAAAATATCTCCCTTATCCAATCAGGGGATCGAACTGTCCCGCGGGGGCGGAGGCCATTGGGCCGGAGAGGCGGGCAGGGTTACGATCGGAGACCACGAACCAAGCAGTGCGGCGATGGAGGGTACAGACAAGGTCGACGTGGACGGGATGATCTTTTGCGGGGGCGGGGACGGGCCGGGAGACGCAGCGGATGGAGAGGTGGAGGAGGAGGCGGGCGATGGATTCGAGGTAGCCGACATTGGAGCTTAAGGGGAGGGAAAGGGAGGAGGAGGCGAGGCGGGAGTGAGAACGGACCTCGGTGTCGAGGAGGCGGAGGAGGGGGGAAGGCCGGAGCGGAGGAGGCGATGGCGACGACGAGGCAGCGGGACTCGGCTTCGCGGGTTTGGTGAACGCCGGTGGTATTGCGGTGGAGGTCGGCTTCCGAAGGCAGCGTCGAGATGGCGCTCCTTTTGTGACCCTCGTTTGCATTTAGCGATCCGACCCAACCCAACACAAACTCGGGTCGAGCCAATTTGATCCAATTCGATCCATCGCATCACATAAATGCCCCACGTCCCGGATCGAGACACGACACTACTAACGACACGCTTCGTATACGGTAGTGTCAGTCGTGGCTCGAATGGATCCCCACATGCTTTTGGCAGCTCGTATGCAACGACGCCCGAAATGCGTCGGGTCTCTCTCATCCTTCACCGAACTTAACGGACTCCAAGAAACGTCACATTTTGTTATCACCCGAACGAGAACAGAGAAGCGGCGCTCTGAAGCGTTACGCGTTGCCTTAATCTCAGGTCAGATCTCTTTCTCTTCGCCCTTCACTGGTTTACCGGCAGTTGCATCCCTTTCAAGAAAGCAAACAAGAATCGTTGCAACTGTTCCTCGCCGACTCATATAAATGAATAATCTGGCAAAATGCTGTAACTCGGTTTCAGTTCCAGAAAATTTCAGCGGTAAGCCTTTTCCTTCATTCTTTTGATTGTGGTCCTCTGCACATCTCCACAAACAAATCATATTTCTCCTTCCAATTGAATCATTGGGTAGATTTTTCTCGGTTACATAGACTGTAATCAAGGATTGAATCCATGCTGCTTTTTTTTTTTTTTAATGTATATCTGATCTCTTACTTCAACTTCTTTGTGTTTATTGCTGGTTTTCTTGAAAGATTACATCCCGGCTTATACAAACTGCAAGTGAAGTAAGATGGATGCTGGGAAGCAGGGCAGCAGTTCATTTTGGAGTTGGGAGGAGAATAAGAAATTTGAAGTGGCCATCGTTGCATATACTGAGAACCATCACATTCCCATTCCTTGGGATAAAATTGCAGCAGATCTGCCTGGAAGAACCGTGGCCGAAATCAAAGCCCACTATGACGAACTATTGGAAGACATCTGCACGATTGAACTTTATGCACTGTCTCTTCCCGACTGTGATGTACCTGAGCAATCTGCTGCTGGTTGTAGTGTTGCCAACAGAGGAAGTGTGAATGAACCAAGGAGAGACCAAGAAGAGATCAAGAGCGCCGCAGAGGGCAACCCTGGACAGAAGAAGAACACAAGTAATACTCATCAAACTTTCTCTGCTTAACGTGAAACTTTGCATATATTATTTTTCCTTTTTAGCAGGTTTCTTGGTTCTAATTTATATAATGAAAAATGTCTGCCGTTGGACGAAATATATAGCGATATGGGAGCAAGTTAATCATTGTTTTATAGTGTTCGGCATGAAGATAGAGCTTGATACAAATGCTTGCTTAATATATGTCTTTTCTCGAGTCCTCTAAAATCCCTCCCTCCTATCAACTGTTTATTGTATGTGCCATTTCATATGAAGTGCTCTCATTTAAACTCAAGAAAGATGTATAATCTAAACGCAACCTGAAGAGCGTTAATGCTCATCTTAAATTTTGATTTTTGGTGATGAAAGTAATGTTTCCTGTCCAAGCTATCTAAAATATGTGCTCTTTAAGTGATTTATGGATCTGTTCCTTAGCAGTTCAAATGGTGATGTTTATCCTTTTCATGTACCACACGAAAGTTTCATCCAGTTGATGTATAACCATAGATAATCCAACTGGTGATGTTTATCTTTTTATATAAATTACGTGAAAGTTCCATTTAGTTGACGAATAGTCAACGATAAGTGCAAGTAAATTGTCTTTTTGCGGGTTAATAATAGGAACCGCTAGATTTTGTGTTATAAAGTTCAAGTTAGTTTTTTATTCGAGGGAAAAATGTGATGTCAATGATGCAATTCGCATTTGCTTTTACTTGTCCTCTCAATGATGCAATGTGATGTCAATAATTGATGGTTAGAGTGATGTTATTAAGTCTTAGATAATCTTAGTTTTTTTCTTTTAATGTATGAATTATATATTTCTGTGCAGGTGACGACTCATGCACGGAAATACTTCATCCGTCAGAAGACGATGAACAAGGGCAGGAGAAGGAGATCAAGGATCCTTCTCCTTGATCACTGGTTGAGCCTTTGGAGTTCTCATGCCCTCTGCAAACCCTGTCAATAAATCTTCTTTTCTTTTTCCTCCCCCAGGCTTAGGGGGCTTAGACTACTACTGGCACTGAGTTCTGTGTGTCAGATTTTGGTATTCCAAGATTTCGAGATTTGGTAGCATGATCGTTCTGAACGAAGGAGCGGGAATAGGAATAGGTTTGTGGAAGATGAGATTAGTGCAGATGTCAAGAAAAAAGCTTTGCAAATTACACTGTCATTTTTGCATTCATCGAAGGTTTGTGGAAGATGAGATTAGTGAAGAGTCTCAACTTTGCTTCCTGACCATTTTTAACCACCTGACCCTTTTTAATCATATGCTTCAACACTTCTATGTTCTCTGGGTAATTCCTCTTAGTGTGAAAAGATAGACTCCAACTCCATGGCCTCTACCATCAAGTTACAGGACTCATACTGATTATGTTCTCCTTACCTTTGTTGGTAGTACTCAGCCTTATCCTCTGGCTTATTGGGTTCTCTTAAACGAATATAAGCTTTAGAGTAGTCCAACTCTTTAGCCACTCTGATCATACCTCTATATGATCAAGCCCCACTAATGGGACTCACTAGTAATTACACTCGAAATTTTCTCTCGGTGGTACATAGCTCTCATATACCGATGACTAATGCTTTCATCTGATACAAAATTCGATGTATGCCTAGAAGATCCACTTTGATAATACCATGATATTCACTTCTTGAATCCATAGTCTTTCTTGCCATTGTATTATTCACTAAAGTGGAGCTCCCAATAGCTCCGAATCATACCTTCGCATGATCAAGTCTCTCGTGGGGCTTCTCCCGCATGTGTTATATTGCCTTGAACTATTCCACCATGATTTGCTATACTATGTCACCTCTTGGTGATATCTCCAATGTATTCTAATCTTTATGGGATAAAGTCAAACTCAAACTCAAACTACATGTGGCCTCTACTATAACATCGTAAGGCCTTTGTCGCCTCCGATTATGTTCGCTCTTTTGGCAATTGGTCTTTGTTCACCTGCTCTCGGGTCACACCCGGAAGAATCATAGATCTAGGATAGTAGCTCCCGAAGTCCATTGACTTAGCTGAAGTTAGTGTGTCATTTTTTGGATCTTGGGCCTCTACTTCCCAACACAATCTCCATTGTGCACCACTTCCTTCGCGATAACTCGAATGATAGTACTATGACATATTCTTTAAGAGTACTCACATTCATATCCTCTTACCTCATTCCAGGACCTTCCCTATCTTTGCTTCCACAAGTTGAGTTCCTTTAGTTCCTCCATCAAATGCTTTATCGAGATGAGATGCATATGCCTTGAAACTCCCTTCATCTTTGGTACAATGCAGGATGAGTTTGCTCCATAAGAATGACAGACCCATGAAACAATATATTGAATCTCGGATTTTGATGATGAAATCAATTGATAAATTATTTGATCTAGTCCATGTGTTGAGATAAGTATGTAGGATCAACTATGATAGTAGTAAGGCGTAAAGCAGATGATGGGCCGGAGTCGACGACTCGGACGAGATACCGGGAGCTCGCCGAGAGTTCATCGTGAGATCATCAGAAGCACATTGGAAGACTCGCCGAAAGCTCGTCAGGAGATCGCCGGAAGTATGCCGGAAGACTAGCCGAGAGTTGGTCGGGAGTTCGCCGGAAGATCGCCGAGTGAAGAATCGACGTACCGGACCATGCTTGCCTTAATCGTAGTTAGAATAATAATTAGAGTTGATTTGGGAGGTAAACCCATCAACTATGTTAGGGGCCAACTGGGCTCGAGTTGGGCTGGTTTGGGTAGGAGTCAAGGCCCAACCAAGATGCTGAATTCCTGACCGACGGTGGCACTGCTTGGAAAGCAGCACCCCAGGTGGTTTAGGCGGTGGTACCACCGGCAATTATTGCTGCTAGCGGTGGTACCACCCAGACTGAGCGGTAGTACCGCCCAGTGTTAGGTGTCAGGCGATGGTACCACCCAGTAATGGCGGTGGTACTGCTAGGACCCCGAAAATCCGGGATTAGACACTTTTTGGCTCTATTTTTGAAGCCATTGAGGCCTATAAAAACCCCACCCTTTTCTGCATAAAAGGGTATGAAAGCATTAAGATAATCTTGAGTTATTGGGGTGTAAAAGTGTTGTAAATAAGTGCTACAGTTCTCCTCCTCCCTTTCTAAGTTTTGAGATCATTCAAGAGAGGTGTGAGGCTTGTAAGGGTTCTCTCGTAAACCCATGAAAAGGAGAAAGCGTTGTAAGAGGTGGTTGGCCTTCACCTATTGAAGGAAGGCATTTAGTAGACGTTGATGATCTCGTCGGAGGAGAAATTCGAAAGTGAATATAGGTCACATTGACCGAACCACTCTAAAACTCGGTTTGCATTTACTTTGAGCAATTTACTTTTATAGCAAACTGCCTCTCCTCCTTACTGTGCTTTTACTATGCCTACGTCTTATATACGCTTTCAAGTAAACACCTTCTGAGATCGTTTTTAATCGTACGAAGATTTTACGAAATCGACGCTTTTCATTTGTGCAATTTACATTACTGCAAATCTCTTTAATCTTCTCTTACACTTTTATGAAAAGCTTTCAAGTTCAAATTCTCTTCGAAATAGATTGAATCATAATCATTTTTGTTGGAATCGATTTTAATCGAAACAAAATCTTTTGAAATCTCGAAAGTTTTTCGCTGCACTAATTCACCCCCCTCTTAGTGCCGCTCTTGATCCTAACACAATATGATCTCGCTTTTACCTATACAAGAGTTTATATTCTTGACCTCTGTCTAAGGAAAGCTTCATGCCTCCACTCCATGTTCTATCTTTTATGTCGACTCCTTTTATACTGCTTGGACACTTCACCAAGTTCCACCCAACTTTCTCTACCTCTCGATTTATATTGAGTTGATGGTGGCCCTCGTGCCCACCATTCTATTGGCCAGTCCTTCGTTAAGTCTAATTTCCACATCGGCTCAAAGTGTGCATTCATTTGATATTATCTTGGGCCACTCTCTTGCTTGATCTCATAATACATTTACCAATGCATTATCTCATGCAAGATCATATGATGACCCCTTGTTGCTTGTTCAATCCATTGAGTTTCGTAGAATTGTTGTCTTGAGGTACTCCTCCTCAATATGTATGGTTCGTTATACATGATTATCTCTTTGGAGAATTAGGACTTATCTCTTATGGATATCTATCCAATTGGAGCAACTTTTCTCTTCATATCATTCCCTCTAAAAGTTTCGAAGACTACCATCCCCTTGGACTACTTTGCCTTACTAAACAAACTATGCATTGTTCTGCCCTTGGGAACGTATTTGCTAGATTACAACTTTTTTCCACAATCTCCGCTACACCCCTTAGGGCCTAGTAACATGCTAAACTTGCTACATACTTTAGCCTCCTATGGATGTATTCTTTCGATGTCAAAGAGAAAGTTTCTGTGCTTTATGGTGCCTAGTTTCAATCACCTTGGGATGGCCATGAATAATCCATCATCTGCATACATGCCCTTGCATAAATATCAAATTCTAGTTTGTAATTCCTCTCATCTCTATGAGCTTTGCATAACTCTTTCGATCGCTGAGCAGCCCATCCCACCTTGCACGGTCTCATCCTTTGCCAACCACCCACTTGTCTTAAGCACCATTAAGTTTGGTTGTCAATGTCTAATCGTAACTTGAACTCAGTCATCCCAACCTTTGTATACTATGTGTGCTTCCCAACTCGCTTGTTCTTATGGTGGCTTTCGTGTGAAAGGTTGGTCATTTCTCTAAATGCTAATCATGGATGCCCATTCTTTTAAGTGACTCATTTTCCTACACCTCAACACCTGTTTCCCCCAAATGGTCACTTGTGCTAGTTGCCCTCAATACAACCTTGCTAGGTCCCCCACGTTTACATATTAAGTATTTCTAAGTGTGCTTGTCCTACACTGATATCATCTATTATAGACTTAATTGATTTTGCCTAAGTCGAACGATACCCTTACTTATTCATCCATAAAAGGTTAGCTTTTCCGAAGCCTCTTATGGCCCCTTAAGGATATATAAAAGAGAAGACGGGTTAGAGCAAGCATTTAACTTAGGATCCATAAGCAATCATTTCAATAAACGGTTAATAGGTAATATAAGTTATAAATATGAACTTCGTAAGCTCTGAATGATCATGCGATAATGGGTCCAAGGTGGTCCACCATAGACCAAAAGTCTCCAAAAGTGCTCACATAACACTACTATGGAAAAAGTAACGAATCAACCCTAGACAATATCTTAAAGGCCTATCCAAGAATGTGCCACCCAGGTAGCTCCTGGGTGTTGTACTAGCTGATACTCTGCACCATTTTGTGGAGATAGAAAACCTCCAAAATGGCTGTTTGGATGGTTTATTTCTAGGCAGTTTTGCCTCTACGCGATGATTACATATAACTTGTGTTTATAAGCCTGAAATGACCACCAAAGCCAATAAAAATGGGGCTGTCAAGCTTACTATTAGCCCTTTATATATAAAGTATGAACAAAATAAAAAAATATGGATATACATGAGTATTATATCGAACACCTAACGTACAGTTTTATCTATGACAGTGCAGACGCTGAGAGCACTTGGGTAGAAAGTGTTTTGTTGATGAGGAAGAACAAAGAGCGACGATGACTGTTATTTGTCAAGAGGAGGAGCAAGCGGTAGGCCAAGGCCTAATTCGCTGGTGAGGAAGAATAACAATGGTAGAGAGTCACCACTGTAGGAAGAAGGGGGGTGCTTCTCTAGTAGAGAATACTTCGGGGTAAAGAATGCTAGATGCTTGTGGCCAAGAGGTGGAGGTGGGGGATTTGTTTCTCCTTCTTCTTGGTGATGCCTTTTGGCTTAACCAATCATTCGGCTATATTCTGCACTTTTATGAACCAATTGTTTAAAGTGTATCTAGACAAGTTTGTGGTTATCTACTTGGACGATATCATCATTTATAGCCAAA